ATTATCATGTATGAAAAGTTTGCTTATTTTTTTTCCCCCATTTGCCCACGTTTCTGTACTTTTTGTCCTAAGTAAAAATATCAAAATAGCTCACACTTCTAGGCTAGGAAAGTTTGGATTCACTTAAAACTGAAACTAATGACGACTAAGCTTAGGGGTTTTCTCACAGTGTAATTCATGGGTAGAACTGTGTCCTGCTGAAGAAGAGTTTTAGAGCCTGCATTTGGAGACATGGAATGAGGGCCTCCAGGTCAGAATTCTTCCCCTACACCATGAGTACATTCACTATTGAGGACCTTGATAGGTCTTTTGGAGTCCTGGTGACGCAGTGGTTAAGCCCTGGGCTGCTAACCGAGAGGTCGGTGGTTTGGACCCTAGCCTCTCCAAAGGAGAAAGATGTGGCAGTCTGCTTCCTGAAAGACTACAGCCTTGGAAACCCTATAGGCAGTTCTATTCTGTCCTATAGGATCACTGTGAATGATGGTGGAATCAACTTGATGGCAATGGGTTTGGGGTTTTTTTTGGGTAGTAGGTCTTGGGTTAGGAGCCCTGGTTGTGCAGTGGTTAAGAGCTTGGCTGCTAACCAAAAGGCTGGCAGTTTGAATCCACCAGCTGCTCCTTGGAAACCCTATGGGGCAGTTCTACTCTGTCCTATAGGGTTGTTATGATTCAGAATCAACTCAATGGCAATGAGTTCAGGTTTTAGGTCTTGGGTTAAGTGCTCTGCTGTTAAACCAAAGGTTGGTGGTTCGAACCCACCCGGTGGCTCCTGGCCCATAAAGATTACAGCCTAGAAAATCCTGTGGGGCAGTTCTATTCTGTCATGGGGGGTCGCTATGAGTTGAAAATCGACTGGATGGCATCTAACAACAACATAGTAAGTAGGTCTTGCTTGATTTTATCTGCATATGATTTAGATTGTGAATGTGAGGTGTTGACTCTCTTCCATGAAACTCGCTGAAATTTCATGGAGATGGACTATGAGCATACTAACAATCCATGCTGGTTAAAACGCTATGCTTTAAAAAAAAACAAACGCTATGTTTTATGACTTGAAGCCAAATTCAGATATAAAATCAAATCAAATCTTACCAATATAATACATTAGCTGTTACTATGGGAATAGATGAGAAGAAACTCAGTAGCTCTGGCCCTGTTAATTTCCGTTTGGAACTGCCGTTAATTTGGCTACATAACATACTGCAAACAAGGATCATAATATTTGGATAGGACTTTTCATCACCAAAACTCAAGATAATTAAACCAAATATAATGTTGAATAGTACCCTCATTTCAGCTGGGCAAGCAGAACGCAGAAGGGTTAAATTACTGTTCGCAGGCCCCCAAAAGCCGGGGCCCCAGAAGGATCTTTGGTTATCAAACTCAGCAGGTTTAATGCAATCCTCAAGGGGACCTTCTGGCTTAATTTGAAGACAGATCAAGTAAAGGAATGAAGTTTTTAGAGTTCTAGAAAGAAGTCAAATAGTTTTCCCATTATGCAAACTTTGTGTATTTACCCCCATTTTTTAGAGATTCCTGGATAACAGACAATTCAGTTTAGAAACACAAAGCTAATAAGACGGACAGTTTTGACCCAAATCATATAAAAACCCTAAAGGGTTTTCCTTATACCTAGAGTTTCTATTTTGGCCCTGAACAACGGATTCTTGTGTTACCTTTCTAAATCAATAACCGTTAGCTCTGTTCAACATAAATTCAAAGCATGTTTAAGATATGTTCTTGGAGAAGTTTCTTCACGTTCAAGGCTAACCTAGTACAAAGGAAACCTTTGTCTATAGAATTTCAGAAACAAAACTGCTGCCAGGCTGAAAAGGTGACACCCTTAAAATGATCAATAGCATGACAGTTAAAACTGCATTAAGTTTTTTAACGCATCATTCTGAAGTTTTTAATGGATAGGCTTCAAATCCACTGGAACCCCTAAAATTCAATGGTATTTGGAATAATCCAATTTGTTGTCCTCTTTCAGGATTTCCATGCATGTCACGTTGGGATCTTCTTTTTTATCCTCAAGTGCCGAAACAGTGTCTGGCACATAGTAAGCACTCAATAAACAGCTGAACGAATGGAAACTGACTGTGGGCAAAACCCTGATGTCTGCAGCCTTCACAAATGGGGACCTTTTCCTGTTCCAGTGATTTTCTCATTTCTACTGCCCCACTCTAAGGAGCCCTGGTGGCGCAAATGGTTAAGCACTTGGTTGCTGACAAAAAGGTAGGTGGTTCGAACCCACCCGGCAGCTCCAAGGAAAAAGGCCTGGAATCCGCTTCCATAAAGACTACAGCCTAGAAAACCCTATGGGGCAGTTCTTCTCTGTCACATGGGGTCACTATATGAGTTGAAAATGACTCAGTAGCACCTAACAGCTGCCCCACTGTGTCCATCTTCAGACTCATCACACTTTTACCCCATTCCTAAAATGTACTCTTAGAACTTTTGTTTACCCTAAGTCCCCAATAATACTGATAATAAATGTTGGCTTGAGACTATTGTTCCCCTTTCAAAGGTATTTGCATTGTAACAGGTAGGGGAACTTAAAGGCTTTTCCAAAACAATGGGTGAGAGTTGACAGCGGAGACACCTGGGCATTCCTAACTCCTGAGAGTCTCCAGAAAGAAGGCTTTCACTTCAGTTTCCAGGCTCCACAGCCCAACGCTCAGTGCAGTGCCTCAGCCCCCATGCAATCCCCGCTCTCGCAGCTAGCGGGGTTTCCACTGCAAAGCGTATTTGTATTCCTGATCCTCGAGGTCTGATTACAACTTCAGGTTTAGTCTCTCTGTAACTTTGATTAGACTTTCCTTCATCCTCTGTAATCAAGCTCAGATTGCTCCAGATGCACGACAGAACGAGCAGAAGGTGAGGAACGTGAGTGTGCAGAGACAAACTCTTGCTTCCCAGCCTTTGGGGCTTCTTTTAACAGCTATCTGGGGGGAAAAAATTCTTTTTTGGTAACTCAGATCAGCAGACTGCTCCTCTCCTGTGGCCAGATCTCGCACTAGACGCCATTGTTAAACACTAATAGCGAAATCTTAAAAGATGTTCTCTTGTAAGACAACAGGTGGTCACTGCAACCGCCGGCTCTGATTGGCGGAAAGGCCACAGGCGCCCAGTGGCCCAGAGAAAGGGCCTCCACGTCTGCGTTTCAACAACTTAACTCAATGGGGTGTTGTCGTGATACTTACCTCAGCTCGCTGCCAATTTGTGCAACCCGCTGGGCCATTAGGGAGCACCGCTGGGTTGTCAAAGTTAAATGGAGGCTCTGGAGAGACCAAAGCTTTTTTTTTTTTTTTTTTTTTTTTTGGGGGGGGGGGGTGTCGGAGTCAACCAAGGGACGGTGTGCGCTGTTGGTGTTCCTTTCCTGAATACACACCAGTCTCTCACACAGCACCCGGACACAATCAAGTTTCTGCAGAGAAGAGCAAAGGACACAAACTTTCATTTAACTGAAGTTTATTTTTTCCTGAAAGAGAAATTCAGCTAAGAAACATACACAGGTGTCACCAAACCCAAGTGTCTACTTTGGAGAACAGAAGAAATGAAAAGAAACCCATGCATGTAACGCTTGTCTGAAGAAGTTCAGGCCCTGGGCCAGCAAGTGTGGTCAGGGGAGAAAACTGTTGGTGACTGTCAGACACAATATTTGTAAATCTCTCCCTTTCTTTTAAAGCAGCTCATAGCTAGATTTGGGAATAGGGCACAGCCTCTCCCTGACGTGCTCATATCATGTAAAGCCCCTTCCCTTCGACAAGGCTTAGGGCCAAACTCTCAAAATTAACTCAAAGTAATAAAGCTGAGGAGAGGAAAAAGATGTAGCTTAAAGGAAGAAAAAGAAATGAAGAGGGGGTGGGTGGGTGCAGTGTGGGGAAGTTAATCACCCAGAACCTTTTAGGAAAATAGGGACATTTTCTCTCAGAGAACACTGAACGATCCGCCTAGATCCAGTTACTCGAATGCCTTTCGAATACAAACACGAGCGAAGGGAATACGAAGGGAACCGATACGAGGCTTAACCAGGGAAGCTTCGAGTCGGCCTACCTGTGAAAGGTCAGCCCCCAACACCCCTTCTGGAAAACACCACAGGTGTACATGAGGGCTCGGCCCCCAACTACGGGGAAGACACATGTGCAGGTTAGCTGCTGAGTTAGATGCTTCCAAGCAAGGGACATCAGGGGCAAGGCAGGACAGGCTAGAGGGGACGGGGGCACTGGCATCAACGGGGAAGAGATGGGGTCCGAGGAGGAAACCGATGGAAAGTGGGGAGAGAAGGATGCGTGTGGCGGGAGCCGAGGAGAGCAGTAGCCGGAGAGCAGGAGGGAGGGCCACAAGGGGCACAGGGCTGGCAGCGGCGGAGGGCCGGCCGAAGCGGCCGAGGAAAGGAGGGGAGCGAGGAGCGCTCCGAAGCAGCGGGGACAAAGAGGACCAGAGGCGGGGTGGGGGGGCGAGGTGGGAAGAAGAGGGGCCCCGGAGAGGGGGCGGCCGCGGCGCGGGTGATGGGGAAGGAG